ACCCATGCACCTTGGTGCCGCTGACGTCATAACCCATGCCCCTGGGTGCCGCTGACGTCATAACCCATGCCCCTGGGTGCCGCCGTGGGTGCCGCTGACGTCATAACCCATGCCCCTGGGTGCCGCTGACGTCATAACCCATGCCCCTGGGTGCCGCTGACGTCATAACCCATGCACCTTGGTGCCGCTGACGTCATAACCCATGCACCTTGGTGCCGCTGACGTCATAACCCATGCCCCTGGGTGCTGCTGACGTCATAACCCATGCCCCTGGGTGCCGCTGACGTCATAACCCATGCCCCTGGGTGCCGCTGACGTCATAACCCATGCCCCTGGGTGCCGCTGACGTCATAACCCATGCCCCTGGGTGCCGCTGACGTCATAACCCATGCACCTTGGTGCCGCTGACGTCATAACCCATGCACCTTGGTGCCGCTGACGTCATAACCCATGCCCCTGGGTGCTGCTGACGTCATAACCCATGCCCCTGGGTGCCGCTGACGTCATAACCCATGCCCCTGGGTGCCGCTGACGTCATAACCCATGCCCCTGGGTGCCGCTGACGTCATAACCCATGCCCCTGGGTGCCGCTGACGTCATAACCCATGCCCCTGGGTGCCGCTGACGTCATAACCCATGCCCCTGGGTGCCGCTGACGTCATAACCCATGCCCCTGGGTGCCGCTGACGTCATAACCCATGCCCCTGGGTGCCGCTGACGTCATAACCCATGCCCCTGGGTGCCGCTGACGTCATAACCCATGCACCTCGGTGCTGCTGACGTCATAACCCATGCACCTTGGTGCTGCTGACGTCATAACCCATGCACCTTGGTGCTGCTGACGTCATAACCCATGCCCCTGGGTGCTGCTGACGTCATAACCCATGCACCTTGGTGCTGCTGACGTCATAACCCATGCCCCTGGGTGCTGCTGACGTCATAACCCATGCACCTTGGTGCCGCTGACGTCATAACACATGCACCTTGGTGCCGCTGACGTCATAACCCATGCACCTTGGTGCTGCTGACGTCATAACCCATGCACCTTGGTGCTGCTGACGTCATAACCCATGCCCCTGGGTGCCGCTGACGTCATAACCCATGCCCCTGGGTGCCGCTGACGTCATAACCCATGCCCCTGGGTGCCGCTGACGTCATAACCCATGCCCCTGGGTGCCGCTGACGTCATAACCCATGCACCTTGGTGCCGCTGACGTCATAACCCATGCCCCTGGGTGCCGCTGACGTCATAACCCATGCCCCTGGGTGCCGCTGACGTCATAACCCATGCCCCTGGGTGCCGCTGACGTCATAACCCATGCACCTTGGTGCCGCTGACGTCATAACCCATGCACCTTGGTGCCGCTGACGTCATAACCCATGCCCCTGGGTGCTGCTGACGTCATAACCCATGCCCCTGGGTGCCGCTGACGTCATAACCCATGCCCCTGGGTGCCGCTGACGTCATAACCCATGCCCCTGGGTGCCGCTGACGTCATAACCCATGCCCCTGGGTGCCGCTGACGTCATAACCCATGCACCTTGGTGCCGCTGACGTCATAACCCATGCACCTTGGTGCCGCTGACGTCATAACCCATGCCCCTGGGTGCTGCTGACGTCATAACCCATGCCCCTGGGTGCCGCTGACGTCATAACCCATGCCCCTGGGTGCCGCTGACGTCATAACCCATGCCCCTGGGTGCCGCTGACGTCATAACCCATGCCCCTGGGTGCCGCTGACGTCATAACCCATGCCCCTGGGTGCCGCTGACGTCATAACCCATGCCCCTGGGTGCCGCTGACGTCATAACCCATGCCCCTGGGTGCCGCTGACGTCATAACCCATGCCCCTGGGTGCCGCTGACGTCATAACCCATGCCCCTGGGTGCCGCTGACGTCATAACCCATGCACCTGGGTGCAGCTGACGTCATAACCCATGCACCTTGGTGCTGCTGACGTCATAACCCATGCACCTTGGTGCTGCTGACGTCATAACCCATGCCCCTGGGTGCTGCTGACGTCATAACCCATGCACCTCGGTGCTGCTGACGTCATAACCCATGCACCTTGGTGCTGCTGACGTCATAACCCATGCCCCTGGGTGCTGCTGACGTCATAACCCATGCACCTTGGTGCTGCTGACGTCATAACCCATGCACCTTGGTGCTGCTGACGTCATAACCCATGCACCTTGGTGCTGCTGACGTCATAACCCATGCACCTTGGTGCTGCTGACGTCATAACCCATGCACCTTGGTGCTGCTGACGTCATAACCCATGCCCCTGGGTGCCGCTGACGTCATAACCCATGCACCTCGGTGCTGCTGACGTCATAACCCATGCACCTTGGTGCTGCTGACGTCATAACCCATGCACCTTGGTGCTGCTGACGTCATAACCCATGCCCCTGGGTGCTGCTGACGTCATAACCCATGCACCTTGGTGCTGCTGACGTCATAACCCATGCACCTTGGTGCTGCTGACGTCATAACCCATGCACCTTGGTGCTGCTGACGTCATAACCCATGCACCTTGGTGCTGCTGACGTCATAACCCATGCCCCTGGGTGCTGCTGACGTCATAACTCATGCACCTTGGTGCTGCTGACGTCATAACCCATGCACCTCGGTGCTGCTGACGTCATAACCCATGCACCTTGGTGCTGCTGACGTCATAACCCATGCACCTTGGTGCTGCTGACGTCATAACCCATGCACCTTGGTGCTGCTGACGTCATAACCCATGCACCTTGGTGCTGCTGACGTCATAACCCATGCACCTTGGTGCTGCTGACGTCATAACCCATGCACCTTGGTGCTGCTGACGTCATAACCCATGCCCCTTGGTGCTGCTGACGTCATAACCCATGCCCCTGGGTGCTGCTGACGTCATAACTCATGCACCTTGGTGCTGCTGACGTCATAACCCATGCACCTTGGTGCTGCTGACGTCATAACCCATGCACCTTGGTGCTGCTGACGTCATAACCCATGCCCCTTGGTGCTGCTGACGTCATAACCCATGCACCTTGGTGCTGCTGACGTCATAACCCATGCCCCTTGGTGCTGCTGACGTCATAACCCATGCCCCTGGGTGCTAATGACTAGTTTGACTCCAAGACTTGAGGGGAGCCGCCTGTGACGTCACACGGACGGTACGTACACCCGGGGGCTAATAACAAAGCCGTGCAAGCTATGGACTGGTTACTTACTATTATGATCTGTCGTGAATATTGCTTTCATAAATTATAGAATATTTGAGAATATATAAGAGCACTAACACTTGGTCTCAAGTAGAAGAGTTTGAACCAATGAGCTATTATATAGTTAAGGGAAGAGTGAATGAATAGGTATAAAATGGGGTATTAATAGGGTCTTTTGCAGTTTTATATATGTGTGACATTCTTAAATTGGAAGAATCTAAGGGTTTATCAATAGAGTATTTATTTAACATTATGCAAATACAAGTGTGTGAACATTGCACTATTTTCCTTACTTCTTATGTATAGGCCTGCTGCAATTTTTGAGGCGATGAGTCACAGTAACGTGCCTGAAGTATGTTGACCAGACCACACACTAGTAAGTGAATGAACGACGACGTTTCGGTCCGTCCTGGACCATTCTCAAGTCGATTGTGATAATGGTCGCGGATCGAATAATGGTTGTGATAATTAGGGAGCCGGTCGGCCGAGCGGACAGCACCCTGGACTTGTGATCCTGTGGTCCTGGGTTCGATCCCAGGCGCCGGCGAGAAACAATGGGCAGAGTTTCTTTCACCCTATGCCCCTGTTACCTAGCAGTAAAATAGGTTCCTGGATGTTAGTCAGCTGTCACGGGCTGCTTCCTGGGGGTGGAGGCCTGGTGGAGGACCGGGCCGCGGGGACACTAAAAAAGCCCCGAAATCATCTCAAGATAACCTCAAGATGGTCCAGGACGGACCGAAACGTCGTCGTCCCTTCACTTTCTAGTGTGTGGTCTGGTCAACTTTTGCAGTTTTATTTCATTTCACTGCGGCACTTAATGATTTGAAAAGGGGGAAATGGTAAGGAGGACGAGGGGATGGGGAGTGGGGGATGGTGGGGGGGGGACGGTGGAGTGGGGGATGGTGAGGAGGTCAAAGGGACAGGGAGGGGGGAATGGTCAAGGGGACGGGAGAGTGAGGAATGGTTAGGAGGATGAGCGGACAAGGGAGTGGTTGGTTGGACGAGGGAATGGGGGAGGGGGTAAAAGTGGGAAGGACTGGTGGAACCCGTTCTCGCAAATTTAATAAGTCAATATTGACTTATTAAATATGTGCTTAGGTGACATACTTAACATAATAGATACCATTAAAAAGATTCATAGAAAATACCGACCTTACCTTACCTTGTTAGTATCTTAAGATAAGCATCTTATTGCTTCGTAATTACAATTATTACCTAACCTATAATAGGTATAAGTTAAGTAATAATTGTAATTACGAAGCAATAAGATGCTTATCTTAAGATACTAACAAGGTTAGGTAAGGTCGGTGTTTTCTATGAATCTTTTTAAGGGTATCTATTATGTCTAGTATATCACCTATGCACGTAGTTAATAAGTCAATATTGACTTTACGAATTTGCGAGAACGGGTTGCTGGTGGACAGGGGAAGGTTGTTGTGGCTCAGCAACGAACATGCGTTGCTGAGCCACAACAACACATGGCCGGGTTCAGCTATTATAATAATAATAATAATAATTATTGCATTTACAAGAAGAGACAATGTGTTCATGAGATTCCATAAGATTGGCATTTTTACATTCTTGTAAAGCCACTAACATGCATAGTGTTTTGAGCAGGATACTTGTATTTCCCTGGGTTACTCGTGCGTACATGACTGTGAGGCCTACCACTGTACGGCGAGCAGTGGTACGCCTTCCTACCGTTTATAAAGTGGCATACTACTGTGTGGAGGACCTCTAGTGTCTTACTGTGGCGCACCATACCATACTGTACCATATCTCAGTGTGTCTCGTACCTCAACATGCTGTAAGTGAAAATCAACAGTTGAAGGGAAGAAGACTTCTTGAGGATGGAGCCACACCAGAGGAGCCCACGACTCTATGATGTCTGCCACTGTAAGCAACATTGGCCTTAACACATGCTGAAGAAATTTCCTAGGATTATCTCTCACTATAAAAAATCTAATTTTTCATGTTTCAAGTTTATAATAATAATAAATACTATTCGTGCAGTAAAGAAAGGATATGTTAGAGTGGTTTAAAATTGGGTAAAGTAATTGTGAGAAAATCAGTAGGAGCACTGAGGTGCCTGGAACCAGGGATCAGGGTACTCCCAGCCGCATACCCCCAGGAGCACTGAGGTGACTGGAACCAGGGATCAGGGTACTCCCAGCCGCATACCCCCAGGAGCACTGAGGTGACTGGAACCAGGGATCAGGGTACTCCCAGCCGCATACCCCCAGGAGCACTGAGGTGACTGGAACCAGGGATCAGGGTACTCCCAGCCGCATACCCCCAGGAGCACTGAGGTGACTGGAACCAGGGATCAGGGTACTCCCAGCCGCATACCCCCAGGAGCACTGAGGTGACTGGAACCAGGGATCAGGGTACTCCCAGCCGCATACCCCCAGGAGCACTGAGGTGACTGGAACCAGGGATCAGGGTACTCCCAGCCGCATACCCCCAGGAGCACTGAGGTGACTGGAACCAGGGATCAGGGTACTCCCAGCCGCATACCCCCAGGAGCACTGAGGTGACTGGAACCAGGGATCAGGGTACTCCCAGCCGCATACCCCCAGGAGCACTGAGGTGACTGGAACCAGGGATCAGGGTACTCCCAGCCGCATACCCCCAGGAGCACTGAGGTGACTGGAACCAGGGATCAGGGTACTCCCAGCCGCATACCCCCAGGAGCACTGAGGTGACTGGAACCAGGGATCAGGGTACTCCCAGCCGCATACCCCCAGGAGCACTGAGGTGACTGGAACCAGGGATCAGGGTACTCCCAGCCGCATACCCCCAGGAGCACTGAGGTGACTGGAACCAGGGATCAGGGTACTCCCAGCCGCATACCCCCAGGAGCACTGAGGTGACTGGAACCAGGGATCAGGGTACTCCCAGCCGCATACCCCCAGGAGCACTGAGGTGACTGGAACCAGGGATCAGGGTACTCCCAGCCGCATACCCCCAGGAGCACTGAGGTGACTGGAACCAGGGATCAGGGTACTCCCAGCCGCATACCCCCAGGAGCACTGAGGTGACTGGAACCAGGGATCAGGGTACTCCCAGCCGCATACCCCCTCAACCCCTCAATTCTCCAACTGATTTTCTCATTGATATATATAAATCACGTTAGTGTGATTTCTTTGTAGAAGTAATTGTATTATATAAAGTAACTGGTTTAGGTTCTTAAAATAATTCACCTGGTACTCAGGAGGGTAGCTACTTACAGCTTTCCGAGATGGGGTTGTGCGGGGTGGGAGAAACTAATGGCACCAGCAGCAGGATCAACAGGCAGCTCGGGGCCATTCTCTCCAGTCTTCCAGGATCACACTAAGATATACCGGGTTCCTCTCAGGCGTTCCCTTCAGCTAGGATGCTGGTGTGGAGCGTCCACCACTTGTACTGGTGAGGGAAGAATTAGGACTGTCACAGGTGGAGGCCACCCGTGCTCAAGGCACTTATCACAATCACCCCACTTGTTGCTTCACACCAGCTGTCAGGCCAGGGGCTCTCGCGCCTCCCACCCCCCTCTCCACTAACTACCTATCACCCTCTACCCTGGGTCCCCAACCACCCACCCAGCCCATACATCTTGAATCAATGTATTAGTCAACATGAGACAGCGTTTAAGCAGGAGAGGTGACGGCAAATGTGTGATAATGAAACCATGCTCATCCTGGTCTATGAAAACAAAATATTAGTTTTCTACAGAATGAGAAACCTTCACTGAGTACCTTCAGTGTTTATTCTGCAGAATAAACACTGATGTACTCACCTAGTTGTGTTTGTGGGGGTTGAGCTCTGACTCTTTGGTCCCACCTCTCAACTGTCAATACACTGGTGTACAGATTTCTGAGCCTACTGGACTCTCATATCTGCATTTGAAACCGAGTATGAAGTTTGCCTCTACCACATCACTGCCTAATGCATTCCATATGTTAATTACTGTGACACTGAAAAAGTTCTTCCTAACGTCCCTGTGTCTCATTTGGGTACTCACCTGTTTCCACCTGTGTCCCCTTGTTCACGTACCACCCATGTTAAACAGTTTATCTTTATCTACCCTGTCAATTCCTCTGAGAATTTTGTAGGTAGTGATCATGCCTCCCTTTACTCTTCAGTCTTCCATTGTCGTGAGGTGCATTTCACGCAGCCTTTCCTCGTAACTCATGCCTCTTAGTTCTGGGACTAGCCTAGTGGCATACCTCTGAACTTTTTCCAGTTTCGTCTAGTGCTTGACAAGGTATGGGCTCCATGCTGGGGCTGCATAATACAGGATTGGTCTTACATGTGTGGTATACGAGGTTCTGAATGATTCCTTGCACAGGTTCCTGAAGGCAGTTTTGATGTTAGCCAGTCTTGCTTATGCCGCAGAAGTTATTCTTTTTATGTGCACTTCAGGAGACAGCTGTTGTGGAATATCAATTCCTAGATCTTTCTCTGTGTCCATTTCATGATGGACTTCATCTCCCATTCAGTATCCTGTGTTTTGCATTAGTCTCTGGTGTGGTACTGTGTCAAAGTCTTTCTGGCAATCCAAAAATATGTAGTCTGCCCACCCCTCTCTTTCTTGCCTGATTCTTGTTGCCTGATCACAGAATTCAATTAATCCTGTGAGGCATGACTTGCCATCCCTGAACCCATGTTGATGTTGTGTCATAAAGTTCCTTCGCTCCAGATGTTCCACTAGCTTTTTTCGCAGAATCTTCTCCGTCAACTTGCATGGTATGCAAGTTAGGGACACTGGCCTGTAGGTCAGTGCCTCCTGTCTATCCTCCCTTCTTGTATATCGGGACTGCATTTGCCATCTTCCAAATTTCTGGCAGATCCCCTGTTACCAGTGATTTGTTATACACCATTGAGAGTGGCAGGCACAGTGCTTCTGCTCCTTCCTATAGCATCCATGGCGATATTCCATCCAGATCTATAGCCTTTGTCACATCCTACTCTAGCAAAAGCTTCTTTTCATCCCCACTGGTAATCACAAACTCTTCTAGTGGTGCCTGGTTAACTACTCCTATGAATAGTTCCTGTGATGTTTGTGGCCAGTGGAGAGGGTGGGGTGGTGAAGGTGGGGAGGAGGGGTTGCCTAATAATCATCATAGTGATATCATTTTGGTATAAGCTGTAAATGATAACTTATAGAGCTTATACCACAATGTGTGATGATAATAATAAGCAATACACATTTACCTGATGTTGAATATAAATTATACCGCATATGGTGGTAATTAAACTACAATGTGGTTAGCACTACAGTTATCTACTGTGTTAATATAAAGGAATGAGAGACCTTAGCTGTGATGTTTCTATGAACTGATTAGGCTGTTAATGCTACCTAAATCAGACTAGGATATGGCTACATGTAGTCCAGGGTGCCCTGTAATGGCGCCTAACACTGTGGCGTCTGTGGAGCAACAAGGTATGAAAGCATCACAGATTATGTTGGCCAGCTCACCTTCTTATATCTCCATATCATAAATTTACCCGTAAAATAGTTAGGACTGTAAGAATTGCTCATTAACATATTAAAGTAAATGTGCGACATGAAATATTTGTGTTTTATTGCACTTATTGCAGGTGCGCATTGGGTTGCTCAGATGTCGGGGTTATGTGACCTTAGACACCTGTGTGTGTGTGTGCAACTCCTGGAGTCGCTTTACATGTGTAGCGCGATCAGAGGTAAGTATTGCAGTTGTACATGGAATGTTCTCCATCACAGAACAAACACGTCCTCCATACTACAGCACCTTTGGGATTCACCGCTTTGGGTTACACATTAACTGTAGGTTTGGAGGAATTCACTGTGTATGTTCCCACACTGCCTTGTTTCCATCTTGGGGTGGAGGTAGTTGGTTTAGATTTATTTTTAGTACTGTTTGTACTCTGGGGTTTACTATGGGTGGTTAATGAAGGTTTAGGTGTTGACTTACTATCTGTGTTGTCTCTTTGTCGTTCTATAACACAGCGTAAACCTTCTGTAATCTCCTGTACTGTCAGAGAAGATTTGTTATATAAGGCACATAACGTATCCAGTATTTCACTGGGTAATTTGTGTCTTACAATAACTTGAATTAACCAGTCCAGTTCATTTTGGTTTACCAAAATTGGTAATTGGTTTTGGTTTGGTTCAAGGCTAAGTGCTTTGATTCAGGACTTAAGCACCACTCTAAAGGCTTGTAGTGACTCAGAGGATCCATCTGTTGATGGTAAATCCAACAACTTTTGAGCTAAAAGTTTGGTAGCTCGATCTGGTTTAGCATAATTTTCCATAAGGAGCTGAGTTGTGCTATCATAGCCGTCATTTGACAGTGTTAAATTACATACCACCTTTAAAGCCTCATCTCTTAGTTGATCTTGTATGTAAATTTGGTGGTTTAAGCCATATTGGTATTAGCATCCACTGAGTCAACAAATTTGTTCCAGAAGGTATCCCAGTTTTCGTACTCTGTTCCAGAGAATGTAGGTAAACTAATTGCAGGTAGTTTGACTTCTGGTTGTGTCGGGTTAAGGGAAGCTGTTGTTATGGTGGCTTTGCAATGGGTAATTATATTGACAAAGGACTGTAACTTGTCCTGAATGGTATCCTCATAATCTGCCTGTTCTTGTATGATAGTCTCTAAAGTAGCATAATCTATGATGATATCTACAAGTACAGCCACATATTTCTCTATTTGGATTATTACTTGGTCAAATTTCTTTTTGGCAACCTTATGATAGCCCTCCAGTTTGACATGATTAACTGATATTTGTTTACACAGATCCTCGCCTTTATTAATCTGTCCGGTTAAATGGCCTTTAATACCTGCGAGGGTCATTTTCACTTTTCAGATAATAAATGCTTATAATAAACAATTCTCCAGCCTGGTCTTAATTGCAACACTGCCATGATAATTGGATGTGTGTGTGGACACGTGTGAAGTGTATAGGAGCGTCACCAGCTATAACACTGACAGTGTATTGTCCGGGTGCACTGAAGACCAGGCGGAAACTTCAACATCAGTGACAACGTCACGGATTCCTCCGGTGTCCACTGTATGTGCTAGGATTAAACCACGACTCTTGTATCTTAGCTTCACTCGATGTGCTTGTGGGGTAACCCTAGCAGCCAATTATTTGGTTTAATTCTTTGTGAATATTTCATTTGTATTATTTAGTTTACTTCAATATTTATGATTCTAAGTGGACTGTATATTTGATTTAGTCTGCCAGAATTTACCTGCACATAGTTTGAAGGGATGTTTACGGCTTATACCACAATGTGTGGTGATAATAATAAGCTAGACACATTTACCTTATGTTGAATATAAATTATACCACATATGGTGCTAATTAAACTACAGTATGGTTAGTACTACAGTTATCTACTGTGTTATTATAAAGGAATGTGAGACCTTAGCTGTGATATTTCTATGAACTGATTATGCTGTTAATGATTCCTAAATCAGACTAGGGTGTGACTACATGTGGTCCAGGGTGCCATGTAATGGCGCCTAGCACTGTGGCGTCTGTGGAGCAACAGGGTATGAAAGCATCACAGATTATGGTGGCCAGCTCACCTTCTTATATCTCCATATCACAAATTTACCTGTAAAAAGTTAGGGCTGTAAGAATTGCTCATTAACATATAAAGAACAGGTGTGACATGAAATATTTGTGTGTAGTAAAGAGCTAGACTCAATTTGGACTTTCTCCCCACAGTATAACCGAAATTATATTTATCTAAGGTAAATGGGCCCCTAAACTATAACTATTACATAAATCGGAACTAAGGTATCCCCCGTTATTGTAGACATTGCTGTGGCAAGTCACTAGGATAGAATAGCCCATTGTGTGTGAAGCATGTTACAAAATCTCTTGGGAGTACTCTCTCATGTGGTGATGTTTACATTTTTTTTAGACAAAGATGCTGTCTCCTTCCCTGAGGAGGCGTTCCAATAATGTTTGGTTCCAATTTTCTGAGTTTATTTAACAGTAACATGGGAGCTAAGCAATATTTTGTTGTATCTTTAATTATCTCCAGTCCTAGTGAATACTTTTTTTACTAAGTTTAAATACTAGACTGAGGTTTAAAAGAAATAATTGTGGAAGCTCGAATACGTGTTGTTGAGATGACGTCACGAAAAAACTCCATTTTCTTTAAATTCTGTAATGGTTAACTATGGAATGTCAACATGTGAATGTCAAAACACACACACACACACACACACACACACACACACACACACACACACACACACACACACACACACACACACACACACACACACACACACACACACACACACACACACACACACACACACACACACACACACACACACACACACACACACACACACACACACACACACACACACACACACACACACACACACACACACCCACACACACACACACACACACACACACACACACACACACACACACACACACACACACACAGACACACACACA